GGGGGGGCAAATCCGTCCCTGCTTGGGTTTAGCATCACCAGTGTAAGAAGATACATTAGGCCAGAGGCCTTGGCTCAAAATCTTTTACAAAAGATTTTCCTTCTTTCTATTCATCATCACCAGTATAAGTAGAGACATTAGGCCTCGGCTCAAAGTCTTGTACAAAAGATTTCTCATTTTTAAGCATACCATGGTGATAGGTTGTAGCTCGAGGTCTCGGTTCAAAATTTGTGGTAAAAGTTCTCTCATATTTTAGTTTATCTTCGAGATAGGATGTGGCACTAGGTCTTGGCTCAAAGTCTTTCACAAATGCTCTCTCGTTTTTTAGCTTATCATCACGATAGGCCTTGGCACTAGGTTTAGGTTCAAACTCTTGAACAAAGGGCTTGTCTTGGTTATCTGCCTCAGTTGAGGACCTTGAGGTGTGACAGTCACTCTATTGAGAAGACCTTGAATTGCCTCCGCATGTGCTGATCTTTCATAATCCCTTGCCAGTATTCTCGTGGAGTTATTCGTGCATCCATAGTCATTTCCAACTGCAAAAAACAAAGGAAAATCAAGAAATTGTATTTGGAATGAATCAAGAAATTAGTTTGAGATTTTTATGTTTAAAAACGTCAACAAATCAAACTTTTATTCTTAATAAATTCAGAATTGACATAAATTATTTTATTTTTTCTATTCGGTTCATCGCTAAATGTATTGAAAAAATGTAGACTCGACCGAGGAATACTTGTACTTACCACTTGAAGACAGAAAACCCCCACTGGAGCAACGATTCCTTTCGTCTTTCCCTCTCTTTCTCTCGCTAATACAAGGATAATTAATACTGAGTCTTTTTATGAATGTTTTGGTAAGCAGAATTCAGACACTAGCCATTGATATAGAAAGGAGAAAAATGTTATTCGCTACATTAACACCTTAAAAATATTAGCCCTTGTTTGAGCCTCATTCTTTTTGGAAAAATATATTTTTCAATGGTATTTTGACATCATTTCAACCACATATTTTTTAATAAAATAATATTACACGTAAATCCAAAACATTTTCTTATTTTTTAATCACACATTTTCCATCAATACACTATTTAAAAATTAATTCGCCCCTCGGGGCATAGTTCGGTGGTGCAAAAGATAGGAGTGAGGTTATCTCACGCCTTGCTGGCAGTCGCAGTGTGGGGGTTCGATTCCTGACACATGGAATTGGACTCCTTGTAGGCACAGTGTACAGACAGCTCTTGTTTCTTGGCCTGTTGGGGCATATCCCGCGATTTACTTCCCTCACAAAGTTCTAGAGACGGGGCGGTGAGGGTCCTCAAGGTTGGAGTTCAACCTTCTTTTAAAAAAAAAAATTAATTCTTCCTAAAAAATGGGGCTCAAACAAGGGCTTAGTATTTTATCCGTTTAGCTAATGATCTTGGAAAAATCAAATTTATTAATATTCTGGCATATTAGATATGGTTGTTCTCAGGTTAGTGTTGTGTTTTAGTTAAGGTTGGCTTGGTAAGACTTTTGAAAAGTCAAAAATTGTTTTTGAGATTAAGAAGTTGCTATTGAACTTGTTGAAAGTGTTTTGTTTAGTTAGAAAAGCTTTTACCAAAAAGAATTTACAATTCTTGGACAACTTTCATTCCAATGGCCAAAAGAGAGAGAAAATAGGAAGGATAGACTATAGAGAATGAACTAACTAGTGAAAACTATTATTAATTAATAGAGATTGTTACCACGATAATATATATATATTTTTTGGTGTGTGTCACCACACTCTTAATCATTTCCCCACTCTATTTTATACTGATGAATCATTCTTGCTATAGTAAGAAATAAATTTACTTGTTAAGATTGAATGAAAGTGAACGCTTCAACAAACCTTTTTGTAGAAGTAGAAGAATTAGTTAAAGTGAATTATGCAAATGGTCATTAAATTTTGCAAAAAGTTTTCACGGGGTCATTGAATTTTAAAAATCACTCAATTCATCACTGAACTTTACAAAAAAGTTTACATGAGGTCACTTAATTTTAAAAATCACTCAATTCATCACTGAACTTTACAAAAAAGTTTACATGAGGTCACTTAATTTTAAAAATCACCACATTTATCATTACACTTTGCAAAAGGTTTCCACGGAGTCTCCGAACTTTGTAAAAGGTTTCCTAGGGGTCACTAAATTTAGTGATCCCTAGAAAGCTTTTTGCAAAATTCAGTGATGAATTATGTGATTTTTAAACTTTAGTGACTTCGTGAAAATCTTTTGCAAAATTCAGTGATGAATTGAATGATTTTTAAAATTTAGTGACATCATGAAAACATTTTACAAAGTTTAGATACCATTTGGATAATTCACTCGTTTCTTTCACTATTTCACTTCCTTAAATGAATAAGACTACTTGTACACCCGAATGTATATACTTTGGTTGACACTTCCTATATGGTAAATATCTAACCATTGATTGAAAAAAGTGTTTTTAAGATAATTTGCCAACACATAGGAGTGTAAACCAAAATGTAAATCAAGGTGTACAAATAGCATGACTCTCCTTAAATTTAACACCACGGTAAATACAATGCACAAATCTTTCTCCGTAATATTCAGCCAAAAAAATTTAGTCTTAGTCGTAGTTCAATTGCTCGGAGCATGTTTGTGGTGGCTTATGTATTACTTTTTTCTCTCATTCTTCTAAGCATCCAATAAGCTGACTTCCATGGACAATAGCGATATGGTGATTGGTGAGTCGTGTCAATTTTACAACAAAATAAAAAATTTAATATTGTGTTGGTTATCTCATTGCTGATATCTTTAAGATACTCTTTGGATCCACTAATGGAATGGATAGATACTGGATAAGGAAAGTTATTTCAACAGGGCGCTTCAAGTTCTTTAAAAATTGTTTGAAAGGAAGTATCAGATGTCCATTTATTGAACATAATTGATAATTCCTGCCTGGATATCCACACTGAGTGGTTTCACTTCTTCCTCTATTTAGAAAAAATTAGAACAACGGATCATAGGCTTGCATTTTATAGTCTGTCTCTTCTTCTGGTAATATCTGAAATATTTCTTGTTTTAGTCTCCAATTGAATGAACATGAAATTCACTTAAAGAACTACTAATTGGCTGCAAGGTGCTTGTAAAATATGTGCCCAAGAAATGGCTGGAGAAACTCTGAGAATGCCTATAGACCGTGATCGTTTCAGTAATCAGGTGCGTAAAAGGCCTAATTCAAATTTTCACGAGATTTGATTAACCTTTGTCTGTTTGAACCATCTTGTCTAAAAGCTCAATATCTAGGGGATAGATGTTTTACGGCTCCGAAGCATGGATGAACAAGGAAATGATGTTCATGAAGAGATGCATATACGGCATATTCATACTCAATCTGCTTCATCACACATAGATCACATGGATCCTTCAGTAATTGTGATCTTCTTGTTGGAAGATTTAAAGCAAGGGAATACAATGCCCATTCATTTCCCAAGAAAAAAACCCAATTCTTACTCCCATTTACTCTCAAAACAAGAAGCTGATTCTATTCCTTCTGCATTACAAAAATTCCAAATCTTCTTGAATAGTTCTATTTTTCTCAAGATCATCCTCAAGGCCAAGCCATGGAAAACACACTAAGAGTGTGAAACAGAACCCATTAAAGGAGAAATCAAATTCCGTGCTACATCCTTAGAACCAATGCTTGATTTTATACAAAAAATCTTAGGTTTGGAAATCAAATCCAAGTTTTATCCACAACCCACCTCACAAATTCCAAAACCCTTTTACAGAAATGCAACACTTGGATGGTGAAAATGGGGATAAAAGTGAAGCTATTGCTGTTTGTCATTTGGATACTTCTCAGTTTCAGTGGAGTGAGAGTCACGTGGCTTTTTGGGTTCTTGGGATCAAACCAGGGTCCTCACGAGTTTGCCATTTCTTTCCTGCAGATAATTTTGTGTGGGTTCCACTTCCATCCACTACTACAAATGCTAAAGCATTTATTTGAATTTCTGTTTATTTTATTTTGAATGAAATAGTTTGGATATTAAGTAAGTCCAATTGTGCGTTTAACAGTTTGTTAATATGCTCCAAAAACCCTTCAATTGCTTAGCACCGAGTATTGTCTTATTCCTTGGCAAACCTTACTATCATTTACACTCTGGAATCTTGTTCTTATGCGTTTAAACTAAACAAATATAAACTGCAAAAAAGATAAAGTATTGCCGATTTTAAAGAAATGACAACTTAGATCATTGGTGCATGTTACCTCTGTGAATACTTAAAAGAGGATCCGTTCATTAGACTAACTCATTTTTTCTAAAACAAATCATAAAGAAGAGGTATAAGATAGTGTGTTGTTGTTACTAATGATCTAGTCGACTTCGATCTAGAATGAATTGAACGGGATGTTGAAAAAGATTAACATAGCCGACTTTAAAGATATATGGATGTTAAATGTGCATCTACGGAGGTAAAGCATAAATTTGAAAAGAAAGACACAAAGCCTAGAATATAAAATCTTACACATAAACCTCAATAATCAAAATACAACACGATCAACCTACTAATGACAATAAACAGTTTCTACAAATCATAAGCTCAAATTTAATGTATCCTCAAGCAGAAGATTTATGTCCTCCTTTCATTGCCCCGTCGACGTCTACTAACCCTCTTGAGAAGAAGGCTTTGTTTTTGCTGAATGAACGTGGCTGTGATAGATTATAACATTAGCTTTGGTGTCAAAATTTCTCATAAAATGATTGGAATCTTGGATACGGTCTGTGATTGCTTTAGGCATAGGTTCACCATTCATTATACTCTTCCAGTATTCTCCAGGGTCTTTTCTTGCATCAATAACACTAGAAATCTGGTTCAAGTAAAAGGGAATAACA